TTTGCAAATAATGTGGAACACCGTTGTTCTTTATGAGTATGTCATTTTCGTATGAGACTAATTTGTCTTTGCAGTGTTTAAGAAACAAAGCTATGTGAACGAACACATAAACAGCAATTTGCAGAACATTCGTCATAGGAATAAATTCAGATCCGATGGCTCACGTATCTCTAGAGAACGCTAGTGTCGCCCTGGAAGTATTTATGAGAGTGCACTACTGCTTTACCGATTGGGGTCCAATGTAATTTGTTTTGTTGCAGAAAGTCGCATACACGGTCTAGTAATTTTTTATATCCTTGTCATATTTCACAAAAAGTGTACGTTTGTCATGTATGTGTACCTCTGTATGGGACTCAATAAATTTTGGACCAATTTGGCGACTATCATGAACATTAATATACCCGTCACTCATGCTTTTTACCACTTAATGTCAAATATACCGTGGCGTAGCGCTACAATATTCAATAAGTACGTTTCGTTCACGAATTCTTCCGAACACATCAAAAGCGTAAATAATGAGATGTAATTAAGTGTTGCGACCACACGTACTGAATTTTGTACCGTGATATGGTTCACAAATTTAAAACTGAAATTTTTATTTTATAAAATGCCAAATTTCGATGCATGTTTGACTGAATTCAGGTATTGCAGATTAGAAACAGTGTGTAAAATTCTGAATGTATAGATTTTCTGTGTTGAAGTAGAATATTTAAAGGGAAATTAGCTGCTACAAATAAATCCATCCTCTCCTTTTTATGTTTCTTCATAGGCCTAGTCTTATTTTAAAGGCGACGAAAACTGCAAGCCTGTTTAAAGTGAAAAAGAAAATAATATGAATGCATTTGAATTTGAAAATACGCAATTTATGATTTAAATTGACCGTTGGGAAATCTGAATCATGTCTTATACGATCCTTAAATCTCGTTATGTAAATAGATTCTAACGCTGAGTTATCTCTTTCTTAGAAAATAATACAATTACCCATTCAGTGTTCAGTCCATGCATGATATGGGTTCAGATTCTTTTTAAAAAATCAGTACCATTCGAGGTGACTTCATTTTGAAGGACAATGATGGCTGGAGCTCGTTAGGGTCACTGTCAGAATAAAACCTGGAAACAAGGTGTGACCTAACACCCTCGTGACGGGTTGATTCCTGTTACATTACTGAAATGTAGTACCACATTAATGGTCGCCTTCTCCTCGTGCAGTAGCGAAACTGTTGGGTTTATTACGCTCCGGAAAAGGACTGTAACAAGGGTGGCTGTCTTCTGGAATGATGTGCTGTGTAGTCTGGTAGACGTGTACCGACTTTACAGAGGTGCTTGTGCCTTCATCATCAGACAGATATCCTTGATGGTGGTCAATCAATCGTTAAGTCGTGAATTGTTATAGCCACAAAGTGCTTAAATTCAGTTAGTCTCTTTAGCTCATTTTAATGCAGTCTCATTCCAGGACGTTGTATGAGTTTCTAAAACCGATATTTAAATTTGAATCTGAGCATTAAGTCTTACCTAGGATAAATTCAGAAACATGCATAAGTTATGTTTAATATTCTGTTGGTAAATCGAATGTAAAATAAGATGAATGCCCAAGTTACGTGAAACTACTGGAATTTTGTAGAGCAATAAGCAGGATTTGAGTTTCTCGCGGCAATGAGAACGAAGAAAAGCTGTCTTCTGGGTTATAGCGCCGAGCAGTTTACCAACGTTTCATTGGTGATCTCGCCCTGATTATGGCGGCTGTAAGAACTCTGCACCGTCGGTAAACTTATACCAGGTTTCACGGTGCAACATCTGATAATATAGCCATCTTCATAGTCGCCGTCGTGAGAATTTGAAACCTTACAAGGGTGTAAGTAGGTCATTGTACTAAAACCACGATTTATCTGCCCAACAAAATATTCTAAGCAATTCGCCATATGCATAAAGTTAACTAATTAACTGATTTCGTATTTATAATGTTTTACTTTTATTATTATTGAAATGAATGTAATCATTGTATTCTATTTCATCCTGTAATGTTGTTCAGTGCTTGACTGTTATTGGCCTTACCTGGC